CCCCAAAACCCCAAAACCCCAAAACCCCATATAAAGGCATAATCCTGAAACCTATTATATATAGTTTTAAAATATCCGTTATTTACCAAATGATGTTCATGAACTTGAAAGTAAGCAACCGGAAGTGCACCTAAAGGCTCTGGACCATGCTAATGTGTTATAGAAGACCAAGAAAGCCAGATTTGATAGAATTCTGCCTCTGCCAGTGAAACTGGGCGGTTTTGAGGAGAATGCTGTTGAGGAAGAAGGGGATAGGAGGTTTTATGGAGGATTAGATGGGTACTGCAAGTGAGATTTAGAGAGTATGTGTTATGGTATTATATGATATCCCAACAATTTGATGATCAAATGAGACAGTGCTCCATTCTGATACCAAGTTCCTATACCTCAATCTGAAAACAAGAATCAGACAAACTACTTAATTCCTAATGCAACTCAGAATTTTTACAGTTATCAAAAAGAAGAGATTCCAGAATCATCTCTATCTAGTGTAAAGAAATTCAAAATTAAACAGAAATTGCTATCAAAGTATAAGTGCAAAACTCAGACAGTAAAGAACTCAAAAGGGTGCTCCTCTACTGTCTACACATGCTTATATGAAGGTTGTGGCAAGCAGTTCACAAGGACCTGGAGTATCTTTGACCATGTCCGTATGCATGAAGGCGAAAAACCGTACAAATGTTCACACTGCAGCAGACGATATACACAGAAAGGGAATCTTGAAAAGCACATGCTGCTCCATGATAGACCAGATATCAACTCGAGAAGAAGCCACTTATGCGAGCACTGAGGCAAATTATATACTGAGAAGTATAACCTTAAAGTAAGCTACTCACAACTCATAAAATTTTATCTTACTCTTCCCCTAACATTTTCTAAATGAAATAGACTCATATCCGAAAATTTCACCCAGAAGCATATGTGAGAAGATTTGGAGTTTACAAGAAAAGAACTTAATATCTAATTCCTACATAAAAAGTTTATAAAATTTCCTCTCAAATCTCTGAGTTATGCATGTATCCTACAAAGGGTGCATCATGAAGCTATTACATTTCATTTATAATTATTGGGCACTCTTGGAGAGCTAGTATTCTCAAAATGAAATTCAGCTAGACAGTAAAGAGGTATTGAAAGGAATTGGAACAGCTGAAATAATAGCTGCCTCCATTATAATCCATAACTCGAGCAAATTATTTCTTGCTACAGTCTTTATATTTGGGAATATTATAAAATTCAAAAGTCTTCATATTTTTACCTGTAAATTCATTACCCTAAAAAGATCAGAAGTTAAGGACAAATTATTTTCTTGTATCTAAATTTGCAAAGAAATTTTCATAGAATATTTATAGAAAATAAAATTCTTGCAGGTACTTACAAGACGAACTAGGTTGAAAGAGCTCTCCTATTTTAAGTCAAGAGACTCAGCTATTTTTTAATAAAGCATGCTAAAACTAGATGCAAAATGCTAAAGCATTATTTTGTCCTATTAAAGAGAATATTTAAAAAGTTTTTTGTATTGACTAAAGACTTTAATGACCCCTACTGGTGCTCAATTATAGTTTAATATTCTTTATAAACCTTAAAAGACTCTATTTCTTTCAAAAAATTCTGACATCCCCTTGTTCTTTCCGACATGACGAATATAAGAAAGAACATCTGATCTGAAAAATAAGCTACCGGGAAGAATTTCCGGTCTAAAATAACTCTCCATCAGTCTCTTATATCTTCCCCATTTCGGTCACCACTACTTCAATATGCTTTCATTTCTCTAAAGATTACAAGTTCTTTTCAAACTGGCTGTTTCAGGGAACTTTTTATTAAACCAACACACAATTGGCAGAAAATGACTCATCAATTATTTTTGATCCATTCTGGAATCTGAATTGAATATCAAAAAGAAGAACAAAGAGTCTAGTTTAGAATCAGATTAGTGGCGTAATTTTAGTGGGGAGATCTAATTTAAATTAAGATTTTGGTATTAGAGGGTTATATGTAAGAGGAGTCGTACGTAAGAGAGGTCATATGGAAGGAACAGAATTCTTATTGTGTTTTTAATGCGTAGGTATAAGTTTAATTACTGGGCGAGAATTTTAGTATTTAAGATCCTGAAATATGCAAGATACGATTTATGTCTGAAATAATTATAATTACCTATTTTTCCTACAACCCCACAAAACCCTCCACCATCCCTCTTCCTACCCCAATCAATCCCCAATCAACCCCCATAACCCCCTCTACCCCCAAAATCCTTCCTTTCCTCATTCCCCCATTTCCTACCCTTCAACTTCTCCACCCCCTCCTGGGGTTTTGGGGTTTTGGGGTTTTGGGG